CCTAACTGGAGATGCAGGATTCAAGACTTCAGTGTGAAAACTGGAAAACCAGGATGAGCTGGTCACTTGCCTTTTGGTGACTGAGTTCCTAAGGAACCATTATTTTTCAGGGTCACATATTGGGTTTTCTTCTTAATGTCTCCATTATAATACACATAAAACTTTTAATCAATTGAATTTTATTAACTTTGGGGGAGGATCTACTACAGAATAGGAGCTGATGAGCCCCTTTCTGAGTATAAAGAGAGGAGCATGCCAGACCTACATGCTTTCTAATAAGCCTGAATTTTGTCTGCAGATGCAATTAGGGCCAAAGGATGTGTGTGACTTCCCCCCAGACCCTTCCCAAACCCCATAGTGACCCCTAAGTGAAATATACCCCAATGTTAGGACTATATAGGCTTTACTTGGTGACTGGCATTACAAGTTATCAGGCATATGCCCAGGGGCTTGTCCAAACTAGGCTAGGCATGGCTCATGCCTGTCATCCCAGCTCTTTGGGAGGCTGAGGCAAGAGGATTACTAGAGCCTAGAATTTTAAAGCTGCAGTGAGCTATGATCATGCCACTGCACTCCAGCCTGGGCAACAGAGCAACAACCCTATCACAAAAGACAAAACACAACAAAACCCAAACTAGAAAGATACGATGACTGTGAATTCAGAGTATTTTATAGAGAATAGAGAACCATTGTTTTATAGAATACTGTGAGGAGCTCAGGACTCCTTTATACTCTTAAATAAAAGTGCTGTGTCTATTGGTATTTACCATATTTGAAATTAAAACTGAGAAAATTTCTAAACATTCATTTCGTAGTTAAAGAATTACAATAATATAACTAGGTGAGTCCCAGCTACTTGGGAGGCTGAGACAGGAGCATAGCTTGAGGCCAGAAATTTGATGCTGAAGTGCTCCAGGAACACACCTGTGAATAGCCATTGCTGTCTAGCCTGGGCAACATAGTGAGACCCCATTTCTACAAAAATAAAAAAATTAACCAGACATGCCACTCATGCTTATAATCCCAGCCATTCAGGATGCTGAGATGGGAGGATCACTTGAGCTCAAGAATTCAGGACTATCCAGGACAACATACCAAGATCCCATCTCTAAAATAAGTAAATAAATATCACAATAGTATACCCGTTACAGGTGAACATAAATAACATATTGATGGGGGATATTTTCTAAGAAAAACTGGAAGAATGGCATTGATTGACATTTTGCAAATCTCACGTCTAGTTGTGTTTTTTTGTTTTTGTTTGTTTGTTTTTTGAGGCAGAGTCACATTCTGTTGCCCAGGCTATAGTGCAGTGGCATGATCTCGGCTCACTGCAACCTCCGCCTCCTGGGTTCAAGTGATTCTTCTGCCTCAGCCTCCCAAATAGCTGAAATTATAGGTGCCCGCCGCCATGCCTGGCTAATTTTTGTTATTTTTAGTGGAGATAGGATTTCACTATGTAGGCCAGGCTGGTCTTGAACTCCTGATCTCAAGTGATCTGCCCATCTCAGCATCCCAAAGTGCTGGGGTTACAGGCATGAGCCACTGTGCCCAGCCTGATGATGTCTGGTTTATAGGAAGATAGCTAGATTCTTTTTCTGCTTCTACATTCAGTGTGTTGTGATGTGTTATTTTAGCTGAAGTATAGGAAGAAAAAGTTAGCCTCACAGAGATATGTACAGTAGTCCTCTCTTATCCAAGGGGGATGCATTCCAAGGCCTCCAGAGGATGCCTGAAACCTCAGGCAGTACCAAGCCATACACACACATATACACATGTATGTATGTATGAATGTATACTGTGTGTGTGTGTGTGTATATATATATATATATACACATGTGTGTATATTTGTATATGTGTATATATATAGTCACGTACCACATAACATTTTGGCCAATGACAGACTGCATGTGTGACAGTGATACCATAAGATTATAATGGAACATATATAAAAACTTGTTATATGCCATTTGATATTGGCCTCAACAAGGCAAAATGACTGATGTTAAGAAAAGGTGTTAGGACATTTGGTTTTCCATATTAAACACACACATATATATATATGGTCTAGGTTTGTGTAAGTACATTATAATGTTCACACAATGACTAGATTGCCAACAATGCATTTCTCAGAACATATCCCTGTCATTAAGCAATGCATGACCATACTGTATTCTGTGAATCTGATAACCAAGATGGCTACTAAGTGGCTAAAAGGTAGTGTATACAACATGGATACACTGGACAAAGAGGTGAGTCACATCCTTGGAGGGATAGAGTAGGACGGCTCAAGAGTTCATCATGGTACTCAGAACAGTATGCAATTTAAAACAGGAATTGTTTATTTCTAGAATTTTTTATTTAATATTTTTGAACTGTAGTTGGCAGTAGGTAACTGCAACTGCAGAAAGCAAAACCACAAATGGGGGGACTTCTGAAGCTGGAAAACAGAGGACCTTGTGCCTGCTGCATAGGAACATAAATTCTAAGGTGAATATTTGATGACATTCAGGAGAGCAACACTGTCTTGGTAACGTTACTACAACAGAATACCATAGACTGGGTAGTTTGTAACAGACAGAAATTTATTTGGCTGACAGTTATTATCAGGCCTTGCTGCCCAGCAGGCCTTGCTGCCCATCCCTTGTTGCATGGGAATTAAGTTTTAACACATGACCTTTGGGGAACACATAAAAACCATAGCAGACACTTATACATAATTGCTGATACACTGCATATAATTCTTCCCTTTCTCCTCGTTGGGAAGCATATCACAGTGCAAACAAGAGCATCATAGAATAACCTAAATCTGCACTTCTCAGTTTTTGAAAAAGCAGTTCCTTCACACAACTAATAGTTAATAGATGTATTTCGACATACACCCAACTGAAGGCAACACACCATGTGTTGAAACAACATGGTGGCTGACCTTTGTCACAGCAATTCCTGGTGCTGGGGGCCATTCATCTTGGTGACAGGCAACACCACATAACTATGTCATTGTTGATTTCCCTTAGGAACCAGAATTCCCAGTGTAGATACTCCATTGTCAGTTAGCCAGTGCTTGTTTGTGAGCACTTCCTGCGTGTTTACCAGGAACCACGGGGATAAAAATCAAGTCTCTAGTTAGTGTGTGTTAGGCAGGCTAGCGTTTCTATGTGAAGAAACCACTAATGGGTTTACACTAAGGTGAAATGTATGCAGGATTTGATGAGCTGTCTCTACTTTCCCTGAACTCACTCAGAGAGATGTTCCATCTATAGATGCTTAGCTTGTACCATGAACTTTGATTTTACTTAACTGAATCTCTTTGGGGGATTTGTTTTTCAATTTTAGGATACTGCATCTTCAATTTAGAAACATGAGGAAGCACAGAAAACCATATCAACACCAAAAATCTTTAGCCCACTTATCCATTTTGATGTATTTCAGTCATCATTCTGTTTTGTTTTAATTCGGTATATTTCCAAACAGCATCTATAATCTGAGTATTTTTTTACTATTTTTCGTTTTGTCCTTAGACTCTATCTTCAGTTTTCCTTAAACTGTTTCATATGGAAACTTGATGAACAGGTAGTTACAAGTACTAAGATATGACAGTTTCAAATATATTGTAAAAATAAGTCCTCTCCTCTAAAAACGTAACAGTCAGTAAGAGTCTGATATGTGGTCAGCCTAGAATGAAGGGATTGGTTTGTCAAAACTGCCATTCATGGGATTTGACCTTCATCCTGCATTTCACCTCCTAAAGCCTGCAAGATACAGAAGCCACTAGGAAGTGTAGGTATTCTGTCTGGCAGAAAAATGGGAGACATGTAATATAGGGAAGATGTCGTTTTTGCACACAGTAAGCTACAAATCTAAAACATTTATTACATCGTTGATTATCATATTGAAAAAATCAAAAGGAAGCACCAAAGTCTTTAATAATAGGAAAATTATTTGACGGTATTTACCCTATATAATTTTATTTATTTATTTATGATTTATTTATTTGATAGGTCTTGGTCTGCTACCCAGGCTGGGGTGCAATGACACGATCCACTGCACTCCAAGTTGACTCACTGCAGCCTCAGCCTCTGCCTGCTGGGCCCAAGTGATTCTCTCACCTCATCCTCCCGAGTCCCTGGGACCACAGGCACACACTACCATGCCCGACCAATTTTCGTATTTTTTGTAGAGACTGGTTTTTGCCCTGTTGCCAAGGCTGGTCTCAAACTCCTGGGCTCAAGTGATCTGTCCATCTTGGCCTCCAGAAGTTCTGGGATTACAGGAATGAGCCATCGTGCCCAGCCGCCAGTAAAATTTTATGCAGGCAATAAGAGTGAGAGTTGGGAGAACTGTATAGCAACATGGATACAGTTATAAGTGAAAAATCAGACGCAAGATATTATGTATTCTATAATTTTCCAACTCTGTCAAAATACATGTGTATTTGAAAAAAAAAACAACAGAAAGAGAATACATGGAAATGATAGTTGTATGCAAGGTGGTGAGATTACAGATATTATTTTCTACATTTTGCACATTTTGGGAATATTCTGTGCTTTCACACCTTACAGCAAATGTCTAGGTTTGGTAAGACATATAATGTCAAATTAGCATTAATACTTTATTTTTCTAATCTGATTATAACGAGTGATTTTTTTAAAGCAAACATTGCTTTCAAATGACTGCAGACCCTTTGAGAGGAGTCACATTGTGTAGTATTGTCATTGCATAGAATATTTTCTCAATTGCACTCTTGAACTGTGTCAGTTGAGTGGTTCTGGCAACAAAGATTGGAACTTTGGGGCTGGGGACTTCATTCAAGAGGAAAATAAGATTTTTCTGCATCAGGTGGGATGCTCATGAGACATCTAGGTATTGACGTCTTCAGATGTAGAATTTAACTAAGGTTAACTCTTGAGGTTTCTTGGACATGTTGTATTCAAAAATAATGATAAAGGCATTCTCTTTCTACTATTTCTTTTTCATACCCCCTGCATCCTCCTATTTAGGTTTTCACTGGAATTTTCACAGCAGAAATGTTCCTGAAGCTCATAGCCATGGATCCCTACTATTATTTCCAAGAAGGTTGGAACATTTTTGACGGATTTATTGTCTCCCTCAGTTTAATGGAACTGAGTCTAGCAGATGTGGAGGGGCTTTCGGTGCTGCGATCTTTCCGATTGGTATTCCATATTTCTCCAATTTCTTTTAACATTTCCTATCTTGCAGCTACTAGAAAGAGTTTTGCATAAATTAATTTCATGATTTAAAAAATATGTATTAGCTGTGTTTTACTCCCAATTGCAGTTATTTGGCTTGGCTACTGAAATATTGAAAATGTTCCTGAAGTACCTGATACAGATGTTAGTTGTTAAAAATCGATAAGCAAATAGAAATCAATTTTAAGAAGTTCTTCAGAAAATGCTGCTTAATCTAAGAGATGTGTAAGATGATAAGTGAAAAATAAGACCCAAGATACTAGATGAAGAAAATGAACTCTCCCAAGGGCCAATGAGGTCTAATTTGGGTTTGCTAGTGAATCTTTTTTTTTTTTTATCTCAAGCTCTCCTTGAAATGGCAAGAATTTCTCCTTGTTCAAAGATGACTTTCTTCATTTCTTTGATCATGATAGCCCTTCCAAAAAAATGAGAATAAAGTAATGTTTTTTAATACAGATGGTCCCCAACTTGCAATGGCTCAACTTAAAATTTTTCAGCTTTATTTTGTGCAAAAGAGCAATACATGTTCAGTAGAAACCATACTTTATTATACATACGACCATTCTGTTTTTCTCTTTCAGTATAGTATTCAATAAATTACATGAGCTATTCAAAACTTTATTATAAAATGAGCCTTGTATTAAATGATTTTGGCCAACTGTAGGCTAATGTTAAGTGTTCAGAACATGTTTAAGGTAAGCTAGGCTAAGATGTAATGTTCAGTAGGTTACATATATTAAATGCATTTTTTTACTTACAGCATTTTCAACTTACAGTGGGTTAATAGGGACATAACCCCATCATAAGTCAAGGAGCATCTGTGTTATATTGAAATTAGTTGTTGAACACTGGCTTTATTTCCCCTAACGTTAGCTAAAAAGGAGTTTTTATTAATGTATTTGAGGTAGTTAATGTTTAAGTTACTAAAATGACTCTGAAAGAATAGTTCATGGTATTACACATTCATGGTATTACATGAACAGCCACTCATAAATATAAGTGATGTCCTGACTAACACCTCTGAGAAACTGAGTTACCTTGTGGGTATCCCACTCAGACAAAGGTCACTACTGCTTCCCTGGCATCAGAATTGCCTCAGATTTTTCACTCCCTATTGGGAAAATAAGGACTTGTAGCCAAAAAGATTAAAGGTTTCTTCATTGAGGTATTCAGCAATTCTAAGACAGAGAATTGGAAAAGAGTGAAACTATTTGTAAAACAGAGATTTCACTTGGTCCAAGTCACAAATAACATCTGCCAAATTTCTGAAACCCCTGTTAACTACTCTGGTTAGGATCCAGTCCACAGTGGACTTTTTGATAAAAGTTATTATCTAGGTGACAAAAGAAAGGATTGACAGAAGTCTTTGAACTTATATATTTTTTTTAATTTTTTAATTTTTATTATTATTTTTTGAGACGGAATCTCACTCTGTTGCCCAGGCTGGAGCGCAGTGGCGTGATCTCGGCTGACTGCAACCTCTACCTCCCAGTTGAAGTGATTATCATGCCTCAGCCTCCCAAGTAGCTGGGATTATAGGCGTGCACCACCACACCTGGCTTATTTTTGTGTTTTTTATTAAAGATGGCATTTCACCATGTTGCCGAGGCTGGTCTCAAACTCCTGGCCTCAAGTGATCTGCCCGCCTCAGTCTCCCAAGTGCTGGGATTACAGACATGAGCCACCACACCCTGCCAGTATAGGCTCTTTTCATAAGATGACTGATGTATGTGGAACTGCCCTTGTTTGAGAGTTGCAGTTTTCCTTCAAGTTATTCCAAGCATATCACAAAGGTTTGTTTTTTTTTTTTTTAAATCAGCCATTGATTATTTATTGGCAAGTAAAAGAGATATCTAGAATTTTTTAATGTTTGATTTTTTAAGGAGACAAGATTTTTTACACTCTCCTTACCATACTAGTCTTTTGGTTTCCTACAAATAGCATTTTCTTTCACTTGTCCTGTGAGAAGTCAAGGGAAAATCAGTAGGAAAGGGATATGTTCACCTGTGGGTTTTGAAAAAGCAGATTGACTCAGATCTAAAGCAAGGGACTAAGGCAGTATTCCTGGTTCCTTGCTATAAATGTTTCAATACTGTGCAATTAATCACTTTTCCCTTATTTATGTCTCAGTCTCTCCCCATTTAGTCTGAGACACTGTTAGAAGTCCTGGGAATTTCCCAAGGGTGCTCAATAAATGTAATCCAATCTTACTAATTTTATGTTTTTATTTTAGCCATGTGGTGAGAAAATTGATTGAGTATCATGTGTTTTTTTGTTTGGGTTTTTTTTTTTTCTTTAGCTCCGAGTCTTCAAATTGGCCAAATCGTGGCCCACCCTGAACATGCTAATCAAGATTATTGGAAATTCTGTGGGTGCTCTGGGCAACCTGACACTGGTGCTGGCCATTATTGTCTTCATCTTTGCCGTGGTGGGGATGCAACTCTTTGGAAAAAGCTACAAAGAGTGTGTCTGCAAGATCAACCAGGACTGTGAACTCCCTCGCTGGCACATGCATGACTTTTTCCATTCCTTCCTCATTGTCTTTCGAGTGTTGTGCGGGGAGTGGATTGAGACCATGTGGGACTGCATGGAAGTAGCAGGCCAGGCCATGTGCCTCATTGTCTTTATGATGGTCATGGTGATTGGCAACTTGGTGGTTAGTACTAATTTGTAGATACTTTTGTTCTATACCCTGAACATTCTACCCTTGGCCCAGAAGCCCAGTCTGCTTAGTCCTTCTACAGCCCGTCATGTTTGTTGATGTTATATTCCTTCTTGGCCCGGGAATCCTAAGGTACAAATGAAAGAGAGGAGACAGATACTTACAGAGTGCCGACTTAGTCATGACCCCCACAACTTGTCAACCCTTTTCATACAGTTAGGAAAACAAACTCGGCAAAATTAAGTGACTTCCCCAAATAAATATAGAGCTTATATTTGAAGCTAGACTTCAAAGTCTGTGCTCTTTCACCTCCAGAAGCCTTCCTTTTTCTTAACCATGATTTCTCATCTTTGGCACTGTTGACATCTTGGGCTGGATAATTCCTTGTTGTGGACTGTCCTGTGCATTGCAGGATTTAGCAGCATCCCTCCTGGCCCTACCCACTAGATGCCAGTAGCATCCTCAGAGTTGTGACAATCAAATATGTCTCCAAACACTGCCAGATGACCTTGGGGGGGCAAAATTGCCCTCCATTGAGAGCCACTGGTCTAAACCATCTTAGAGTTTTATTTAATTTATATAAATGACAAACCACTTTCTTGCTTTACTTTGATCTGTCCACCTGCTCTCTTCTACCTCTGTGTTTAGAAGAGTCACCAACAGATCTTGACACTTTGTTTCTTGAAGTGTGATCTGAAGACTAGCGGCAACAAGGTCACTTGAGAGTGTGTTAGAAATGCAGAATTCTAGGTCCCAAATCAGAACTACTGAATCAGAACCTGCATTTTTAACAAGATCCTTATGTAACTCATATGCACACTAAAGTTTGACAAAGAACTGTCTTACAGATCAGGGCCCCAATCCTACCTGCAAGTGCAGGGCAAAGAGGACTGGAAGAAGACAAGCTTATCTGTCCCTTACATGCTTATCCACGTTTGTTCTCTTCCCTTTTCTGCCATAGAGAAGCATGACAGTAAAAGGTTCCTACTTCCAGCCTCCGAACCAGCTACAGCTATTCTGTTCTTCCATTTGACCTACAAAAAATAGCTACTGTCATGTTTAATCCTTCCTGTTCTCCATTCCCAGCCACCTTTCCCTCAGTCCTAATCCCTCTAGTCTTCTCACTCCTGCAGTGACTCTAACAATGGCTTCCTGGTAGGTAGTGTGTTCAACATTTCCCAGCCCTGACTTTGCCACCCTTTCCTCACTCTCCTCTTCTCATTTGTCTCAAAGACATATCCCATGGCTGTCTCCAGATACCTGAGCATTTGACAAAAATCAGCTGTTACTTCTACCCCCTGATGACACTTTCCAAGTTCCCCTTTGCCCAGTAGCCCCTCTGCCCATCTAGTTTCTAGGAACCTGTAACTTTGGGTTATTTTCTGTCTCTCTTCTCTCCACTCCCAGTAAATATCTGATGTGTCTTAAATGCATCTTTCTTCATAGTATTTCTATGGAAATCTTTCTTCATAGTGTCTAAGATCTGCCCCTTTCTCCACATTTCTATAACTCGTTACTACTTTATAAAAGTGTGGTCCCAAGACCACCTGTATCATAATTACACAAGTTTCACTCACAAGAAAAGGCCAAGTCTCAGGCCCTACACCAAATCTACTGAATCCAAATCTCTTAGAGTAGGCTAAGGAAATATTTTTAACAAACATCCACATCCCTCACTTCTGGAGATTCTAATGCATGCTAAGATTTGGGATTTCTGTAGCCTAATCCAGACCCTTATGAACTCATGCATGTAACAGCCTCCTAACTTCTGCCCTTCCCCTCTGTATGTAGCTAGTCTGAATGACTTTTTCAAATCTCTGTCATCATCTGTGACTCCTGTACTCAAGAACCAGTAGTGGATCTAATTAAATAAAATTCAGATCCCTCAGCCTGGCCTTCAAAGCCCTCTCCAACTCACCTGCATTTTACCAACCATATTCCTTTTTAATTCTACAAATGGTGCAGATAATCCAAAAACTTACAGTTCATTTATTGTTTCCACCCTCCTACTCTGCACATTACTGTTATCTCCACCTAAAATGTGTGCCTTACTCTTCTTCCCAAGTATGACAAAGTAAGGACCAAGTATAAATCAAGAAGTGAGCACCTCTCCCACTCCTAAAAAGTAAGTCTTAATAAAAATAATTAATGTTCAATGTAGTAAAATAGGAGATTAAAACAAAAACAAATAAAGCTTGTATCTGATGGCTGGACATTTGGCTATGCAACAGAACGTAAAAGTCACCATCACTGTCTTGAAAAAGCGATTTTATTTTTATAAATGTTAGGAAAACAAAATTTATTCTTAAAACATCATAACATGAAGTACATTTCAGTTCTACCTTCTTGATTTTGTTGTATGAAAGGATGGCACTTCAAGCCTAATTTTTTTTCTAACATGGGTGCTCTAAGACACCTTCTGCTCATGAACACGTGGCGTCTACGCTCTTTGTGACCTTCCCCAATAATTACATTCACCTTTTAATTTTCATTTTGGGAAATTTCCTTCCAAAATGGATACAGCCTTGATTTTTTCTGATTATAAGAGAAGTAATATATTTTGGGGTACATACATGTATATGTAAAACTATTAAAAACCTAAGAAAAGAGGTGCTAAACTCCTTGTATTACAACCAAAAACAAACACATTCCCACCCGGTGACATGAGCATTTAAAATACCATGTGGGCCAAACACAACACAACAGAGCCTCTTTGAGTCTGTCACGTAAAGTCCATTGGCTTCCAGTTTGCAACCCTGCATCTGGTGGATAACTTTCCTACATTTGTTCCTTTTTTCCAATGCTGCTGGCGTAGGTGCTGAACTTGTTTCTGGCCTTGCTCCTGAGCTCCTTCAGCGCAGACAACCTGGCTGCCACGGATGACGATGGGGAAATGAACAACCTCCAGATCTCAGTGATCCGTATCAAGAAGGGTGTGGCCTGGACCAAACTGAAGGTGCATGCCTTCATGCAGGCCCACTTTAAGCAGCGTGAGGCAGACGAGGTGAAGCCTCTGGATGAGTTGTATGAAAAGAAGGCCAACTGTATCGCCAATCACACCGGAGCAGACATCCACCGGAATGGCGACTTCCAAAAGAACGGCAATGGCACAACCAGTGGCATCGGCAGCAGCGTGGAGAAGTACATCATCGATGAGGACCATATGTCCTTCATCAACAACCCCAACTTGACTGTGCGAGTACCCATTGCTGTGGGCGAGTCTGACTTTGAGAACCTCAACACAGAGGATGTTAGCAGCGAGTCGGATCCTGAAGGCAGCAAAGATGTAAGGTCCCGGCCTAGAAACAGCCTTGATCCTGTGTGAGAACAAACAGGGTGCTGTCAGTCTTGGGCATTGTTTCAAGTATGGGCTTGGTAGAGAGATTCTGGAATAACCCATTTACTTTGAGAACTAATCCCACCCTCCCATTATCATTCTAGGCCTTTCCTAGATGAATTGGACTCCTAAGATGATCCTGGGCCCACCTCTGTCACTTCTGGATCATCTGGGTCAGAGGCTGGAATAAGCCCTGCAGTACTTCCCTGCCATTCATCCGACCTATAACCCTGAAACCAACCTATAGCCACATTTAGCTTTGGGTGGGTCACTGTCTTGGTTTTGATGTTATATCCCATCCGGACAGAAGTTTTGAGGGCCTGTGGTTATAGTTTGCTTATCATGAGTTGTAGTAAGAATTCTAGAGAAGAGTCAGAGCTGGCGCATCATCCCTGCCAGAGGCAGAGTTCTCAGTATGGACTGGGCATGTTGCTTCAGAGCTGCTGATCTCCCTTTTCCTTGCGTGTCTAGAAACTAGATGACACCAGCTCCTCTGAAGGAAGCACCATTGATATCAAACCTGAAGTAGAAGAGGTCCCTGTGGAACAGCCTGAGGAATACTTGGATCCAGATGCCTGCTTCACAGAAGGTGAAAAGGGGCGAGGAGGGGATGGGCTTGGGACACTCGTGTCACTCACAGACACAGTTCCACCAGGGCTAGTGGTGGGCGAGGGGCGGCTCAGTGGCTATCTCCAAGAAGTTTGCTCCCACCCTACCATTTTGAAGGAAACTTAGATTGTTTCCCCTATTTGTATCTGACAAGTATATAACAAGTTTCTATTCTCACACTTGTCATTGTCTGTTTTCTCTTGGCATCAGCCTGAAAGCTTCCATTAGAGAGGCTTGTTCTGTCATGGCTGTTCCTGCCTCCTGACTACACTTTCCTCCTCCTGCTCACTGCTTCTTTGTAGGACATCTTGACTCCAGAGGGCCTTGCCCTGTTAGCCTTTGCAGCATAGCCTCAGCCCTGCCACCCTCTCCATTTCTGAATCAGACATTCTGATTCAGCCACTGTCCTCCCGGCTGTGTGGTGGGGCAGCACCTGGCAGGGCCTGGGAGATGGAGGAGAGGGCAGGTCTGGGCGGGGCACATTTCCATGGTCTGACCTGCCTCTCCCGCTGGTGCCAGGTTGTGTCCAGCGGTTCAAGTGCTGTCAGGTCAACATTGAGGAAGGGCTAGGCAAGTCTTGGTGGATCCTGCGGAAAACCTGCTTCCTCATCGTGGAGCACAACTGGTTTGAGACCTTCATCATCTTCATGATTCTGCTGAGCAGTGGCGCCCTGGTGAGGTCCAGGGGAGTGTGCGATGAGGGATTGGCTGGGGAAGGGTATAGAGAAGCCAGTGGGAAAACGCTGAGGCCCAAGCCCAGGGGCTCTGAAAACAGATTGCCTGTGGCTCCAAGAGTAGTGATCTGTTAAACTAGTTTGGGCTGGTGCTTTGAGCCTGTGGGATTAGAGTCCACATTGTTCACATCCTGATCCTCTGTAGATTTAGCACTATCCCCATCATGTGTCCCCACTCCCTGGTTTACCCCATCCTTAGCAGCCCCTAAAATGAACTTCCCTCTCTCACCTAATACCCCAAATCTCTTGTTCTTTGCTTTATAGTTACCCAGGATGGGAGGGAGGTATTCCTCCACCCACCATCCCTTCACAGCCTACTGGATTTGGAGAACCCATGGCATTAGCAAGGGTTTAGAGTCAGATCTCTGATACAAAGATTATTTATATTCACATTGTCCTAAGTGCTTATTAATCAGTGAAACATACAAGGCCCTGAACACACAGGCTCCTCCCCTGCTGAGACTAATTATCTTGGCATTGCTTTTACTTTTATAACTGAGGGCACCTGGACGGAGTCTGGCATGAGGGAGTTGCTTGCTAGTTGGATGGTTTTGAGGACAGTAGGGACTAGAGAGGGTATACACTTTCCTTTTCCTTAAGTGAAAGGCGAAGAATGCATAATGTTGACGTGTATTTAAAGAAGGTGGGCACATTCATGTAGGTGTGGAATCAAAGCCTAATCTGGAAGCAAAAATAAATAAATAAATAGCAAGGGAGAAACCCCAAATTCAGTGTTAAAGATTTTGACAGTGATGGGAAGTTTCACTGACTCCTGAGGCAGGAGAATTGCGGTGAGCCGAGATCGCGCCATTGCACTCCAGCCTGGGTAACAAGAGCGAAACTCCGTCTCAAAAAAAAAAAAAAAAAGAAAAGATGAGAGAGGCAGCAGTGTATATTAAAGATAAGCTCAAGGGTGAAGAAGACAGCTTTCATGGAAAGGACCGTGGGAAGTGAGGGGAAGGTTTACAGGAAGGTGTCAGGATTAAAGTAGGAGGCAGAAAAGATGGCTTGGTAGCCACTGATCTGAGTGCAGGCGAGCCAGACCACCCCACCTGCCCCCGGGTCATTCGTTGCATCAAAGAGCATTCATGCAGCACTTCCTGAGATGCCTCAGAGGCACCCGAAATGACAGCATGGTCTCTGCCCTTGAGAAAAAAAAAAAATCAGACTAAGGCGAGTGACTGGAGAAAGACGTCTTGTTATTGTTGTCATTGTTATTCTTCAAATCTAGTGAACAAAACCCTAAAATAACGGAGTAATATGACCCATCATTTCGTTCTTCTCTTTCCCATCTCTACAAAAAAGAATAAAGCAGTAGTGAACCAAAAGTTTTGAACTTCCTTTACTGCTCACCTTTGACAATTTTTATTTGTCGTAATGATTAGGCAGAAGGTATTTGATTCAGTACATGCAGACCCTGTGCAACAGTAGGCATGAGATTTAAGAATAGCAAAGTGAAGACACAGCATTTTTAGCTGTGTCCAAGAAGAAAATGTCCAAGCAGAAACTAGAATAGGTTATGATGGGACTTCAGAGGGTGGAGATTAGGGCCCTCAGTTACATGAGATCAATCTTGGGCATCTCACATACCTTGGGTTAGAGAAGGGATTTTCTAACAGATGGGGTTAAGGGGAAACCTGACTTGGAAGCTGTTGCCTTTTTGATTGAGCCAAGGGGATTTATTTGTACCAAGACCCTGAGTAGGACCGTGGAACCTGTCATCCCTGTCCCACTCCCCATTGATGAAAGAGGAGCACCTGATATTCATATGCCTCCATTTTGGAAGATGAAGCTGCAGACCACCCAATTCTATTCTTCCTTCTGGAGCTATTCAGAGCAGACACCTCCTCCCACTTGTATCACAGAGGACTTTCTCCCCACCTCCACAGGCTTTCCCATGCTTTAGGAATTCCCTCCTCTTGGCACCACACCTGTAGAGTCCACCACTCTGCAGATGGGAATGCTCACACGTCCGTATAAGGGATTTTCCCATTCATGAATGCCAAAGAAAGAAAGGAGTGCTAAGATTTTCTTCACCTGGGTGTCTCCCACCCCTGTGACCCTCCACCCACACTGCGGTGTCAAGGGGCTAAAAGGAGGAGAGGAAAGATTTTGTCATGTCTTTTATATATAGTGTTGGTGAGGATGTGGAGAAATTTAAACACTCATGTGGCTGGTAGGAATGTGAAATGATGCAACCACTTTGGAGAACAGTTTGGCAGTTCCTCAAAAAATTAAACACAGAGTTACCATATGACTCAGCAATTCCATTCCTGGGCATATGCCCTAGAGAATGAAAACATGTCTACATAAAAACCCATAGCCAGATGTTCACAGCAGCATTGTCCACAATAGAAACAACACAAAATAGAAATATCACACACGTCCATCAGCTGATGAATGATAAACAAAATGTGGTATATCCATATATTGGACTATTACTCAGCCATAAGAAGGATAGGTGAGTGGTTGCCTGGGGCTAGGGAGTTGGGCGATTAGGGGGTGATTGCTAATGAGTATGGGGGTTCTTTTGGAGGTAATGAAAATGGTCTAAAATTGATTGTGGTGATGGATGCGCAAATCTGAATATACTAAAAGCAGTTTTAAATGGCTGAATTTTATGATATGTGGATTATAACTCAATAAAGCTGCCAAAAAATAAAAAGCCTGTTTTGTGGGGGAGTAAAGCGAGGGAGACAGGGAGCTGATAATAGGCCAGCCCACGTGGGAGAGCTGCCTGAGGATAGCAGTGCTCCATGTGGCCTGCTTGCCTTTAAGCACTATCATAGCCAGCTGCTGCCTTTCTTTTAGGCCTTCGAGGACATCTACATTGAGCAGAGAAAGACCATCCGCACTATCCTGGAATATGCTGACAAAGTCTTCACCTATATCTTCATCCTGGAGATGTTGCTCAAGTGGACAGCCTATGGCTTCGTCAAGTTTTTCACCAACGCCTGGTGCTGGCTGGACTTCCTCATCGTGGCTGTAGGTGTCTTGCTTTCTGTTTCCCACCCCTTACAGCAGGAACACAGAAATAGGGGTCTCTCTCCTTCTAATGGCAGTAGCTGCCTTGGGCCCAGGTTATAGATGGAGATGGAGATGTACATGTGGGTAAAGTTCCTGTCATAGGACTCAGATCTTCATTTTAGGAAGGGGAACTCTGAAGTCCCTGCATTTGCTCCAGGGGGACTAACCACCCAACTCTTTAGTCTGGTGGGTTTGGCTTAACTGAGATTCAGAGATCAGGAGTGAGAAGTGGGATCACTGATCTCAAAGGCCCTTGTTATTTGGCTGGGGACAGGAAAGTTCTTGCCCCAGGCCAGCAGGATGTCCTCTTTCTGTGGCCAGGGGAAGGGATGAAAGAATGAGATGGGGGCTGCTGGCACAAAGGTGGTAGTGGGATTTCCCTGGTCTCTCCTGCTGACCGTTCCCATGAATGCTTCCACCCAACTCAAGTCTTGATACCAGACTCATCCAAACAAGTCAGTCTATCAGGAGAGGGACGTTCACACCGAAATAAAGTCCCCGCTTCTTCCCACATGTTGCCATTCTACAGTGATCATGAAACTTGAGAAATCCTTTTTTCCTCCAGGTTCCAAGACCATTTCCGAGGTTTGCTGGCCATGACCTCCTGTGTTTTTTTCAGGTTGGAAGCGGCATCCTCTCTAACTCTTCCTCACTCCACCAGTGCTTGTCCCTTGTTGGCTTTACTAAGGATGATGACTGTTCTCTTATTCTGTATAATAACTAAAGCTTCTTTCTTTCAGTCAAATCAGCATTTAAAAAAAATGATGAATGGGATTTGTAGGAGCAGGGCCTGTGGAAAATTGACTTTCTTCTGAGGGCTGTTAAGTGCTAAGAAAGTAGAGTGGTGGAGGTTAGGCTGGTCGTGTAGAATGCAGGTTTCAATGGCTGCATGGTGAACTACTTGTAGAGTGCCTCTGGGATCCAGGATAGAGCAGCGTAGAAATCACTCTGATGGCAGGTGCCCAGCACTGAGCCAGTAATGATTTCTGCTCTATAAATGCATTTCCTTCCCAATATATTGTCTGTAGTTTCTATGGTTAGTGATCACTTCCCAAAACTGTCACTCTGCCCCCAATTGCATCCCCATTTCAAAAAGCCAGACTTTGGGAAATGCCTAAATGAGGTGAAGAGGCCAGCCTTGAGGGGACCAGTGTGAGACCCGCGCAGCGAGAGATGTTAGCACTCTCTTCAGCAACTCTTGATAACATCCTGTGGTGGAAGGACCCGTACCTCCCACAGACAGAAAGCTGGAGCTCTAAGACTTAAAGACTGGGCTTGAGATAAGACCCAGAGAGCCACAGTGAGAACAAGCCAGTTCTCTTTCTAGAGAAAGGGAAAGTGCCATGGAGTCTTCATTTCACAGTAGCTCCTCAGGACTACCTAGCATCAGGTGAGACACCTGAATTCAAACTGGTACTCCCAGCTGCCTGGGGAGGCTGGGATTTGAAACAGAGCTTCTCCACCATGACCTACCCTCTCACAGGAACACGTTCTTCCTCTTCTCCCTAGGTTGAGCTACCCAGAATTTGAGGATATCCATCAGGTATCCCACATGACCCTGCTAAACAAATAAGCTGCTAAAGCACTAACAGTCCTACACATTAGAATTTATTTCTGTTTTGAGATGAGGTCTTACTCTGTCACCCAACCTTGAGTGCAGTGGTGCTGTCTCTGCTCACTGCAGCCTCTGCCTCCTGGGTTCACACGATCCTTGCACCTCAGCCTCCCGAGTAGCTGGGTCTACAGGCACACACCACCACACCTGGCTAATTTTTGTATCTTGGGTAGAGATGGAGTTTCACTGTGTTCCCCAGGCTGGTCTTCAACTCCTTGGCCTCCCAAAGTATTGGGTTTACAGACATGAGCCACTGTGTCCAGCCAGCATTTATTCTGCGAACACTTTTATGACTTTTTATACAAGGTGAAAGGGGGTAAAAAGCATAGGACAGGCATGTAGCCAGCTGACACTAATTCATAAGGCCCTCTAGCTTTGTGGGGGTTGCTGGATCATTACATTACTGTGGTGCCTAACTGGCTCCTGTGAAGACCTCTGTGCCAGTTATTAGTAAACGACATAATCGAATGCCATTATCTGTGTAGAATTGCTCTAGAAGCAATATGGAGAAATTCGAGGATAAGGCAAGCATGGTCCCAGCCCCTGGGGAGCTTCCTCTAGCTTCCACAGCAACTGTGGCCTGATTCCAGGCTTGTGCTAGGTGGGGGTACAGCCCCAGGCCATCACAGTGGCTCCACTGGCTGCCACTTTTGAGTTGTAGATGGACGGTAAGTCTTGGACTGTCACCTGAACAGCTGGCACTGCTGGACTTTTTGGTGTCCATTTGAGAAAAGTATCTGGTTTCTTTGGCATTTTAGAATATCCAGCAGGTTAGGTCCTAGCTTAGTACCATCCACTGATGACTTGATTTCTGGGTCTGTTACTCATCACATTTGTTTCCCTAATTGATTTTCATTCTTCCTTGTTGCCCCTTAAAGCTGTCAGTATTTTTCATAGGCATGGGATTATCCACATGACTTCCAAGCTTAATTCTTTTTGTTTATAAGTCATATGAGTTCCCAAACAAGAAAAACATTCTGTTTTGCCCAGGTCCTTGGCTGCATTGGAGATCATGTCCTGTAAAAGAATTTTGTCATCTTTTCCCCAGGACATTTATCCCATTGTGTGTGGAGATTAGCAAGCCTGTCAGTTCCGGAGATGGGGGCTTGCAGAGATCACTTGCCTCATCCTGAATTCAGACTGCTGAAAACGTTCTCCATTTGAAAATATTCACATCATTTTGGAAAAGTCACCTAATATATTTCCTCCTTTGTTTCTAGCCTGCAACCACAGATGCCCTGAATTTTTTTGTTTTTTTTAGATAGGTCTCACCCTGCTGCCCAGGCTGGAGTACAGTGACACAATCATGACTCACCGTAGCCCCAAGCAGCCTTCCTACCTCCGCCTCCTGAGTAGCTGGGACTACAGACATGTGCCATGGTGCCTAGCTTGATGCCCTGAATTTGATGTCTCCTTGATTCCTTTATTTTTTTTTTTTTTTAGGTTTGATTCTTTCATTAAAGAGTACTTTAATCAATGTTAGGATTATCTCCAGCAAGGGCTTAATAGAGACTCAGAGGATTATAAGAGAGCCCTCAACTGCTAAAGAATAACCCAGATAAGACTCTTATTGATCCTGTCCTGGGCCAGATTAATCAGCTGAGTAACAGCTTATCTCTCAGCAACATTTACAGCCAGCCACTGAATTGGCCTTTAGACCTCCTCCTTCATTCTCCACACTGTGGACCTATTTGTTATCAGATAAGTCACTCATCCTGAAGAGCTGGGATCTGCTTACCTTTTTTGGTACCTATAGCCACTCAAAACTTAGTTTCTTGCAATCTTTACCTGACAAAATTTCATAAGATGAAGCTGACCCAGGGGACTGTTGAGCTCAGGTACTTGGTTGAGAAAGGATAGCTTCCCTTCAGATATACCTATTGAGGCATCATGAAGTATCTGGCAACTTTCAATTATTTTGGAGTTAAAGGCTGACACCGCCATATAAATTCTTACTGATAATGATGGATGGATGGAGAGAAAGGGATTGGTTGGTGCTACTGTGTTCTAGATAAGGCATTTGTGGCCCTTATTTTAGGCAGGCATTGAATTCTGGACCATCTGCCTTTCAAAGAAAATCAGGGTAACTTAATAGGGCAACATTTACTTCCAGATTTGCTTTGGACACTGTCCAGGGCTTCAGAGAAGATACCTACACTGATGGATTGTGAGCACATGCATAGATCAAGGTTCATACCCCTTTTTATTTATTTATTTATTTTTTTTTTTTGAGATGGAGTTTCACTTTTATCACCCAGGTTGGAGTGCAGTGACACAATCTCTATGCACTGCAACCTCTGCCTCCCGGGTTCAAGCAGTTCTCCTGTCTCAGCCTCCCAAGCAGCTGGGATTACAGGCATGCGCCACTGTGCCCGGCTAATTTTTTTTGTATTTTTAGTAGAGACATGGTTTCACAATGTTGTCCAGGCTAGTCTTGAACTTCTGACCTCAGATGATCCACCTGCCTCGGCCACAACATCCAGCCATACCCATTTTTAAACCAACACCTTTAAACCAACTCATTCTGACCCTTGGTAGGTCATTGACCTTCCACTTCTACCCCCTGCCAGTCATGCTGCTTAATTATAAATGTCTTCATTTTTTTTAAAAGTGTGTGTGTGCAATTCACAGACACAGGATCAAAGAATTAAAGCCATAGGATACAGATAAAAAGCAGCAAATGAAACTAAGTTATAGATTGTTTCTTTTTATCCTCTCTAAAATTTTTTTTAAATACCAATTTAAGTAAGCTAAGCTGATCTGCAACCACCACTTCCCAGTAGGAAAAATTTAAGAGCCACTGATGGAAATATCTTAACCTATCCTAGAATTTGTGTTGTAAGAAACCCAGAACCCAGCCGGGCACGTGGCTGAAGCCTGTAATCCCAGCACTTTGGGAAGCCAAGGTGATCACTCCTGATCACCTGAGGTCAGGAGTTTGAGACCAGCCTGGCCAACACGGTGAAACTTTGTCTCTACTGAAAATACAAAATTAGCTAGGCATGCTGGCACATGCCTGTAATCCCAGCTTCTCACCCAAGAGTCTAAGGCAGGGAGAATTGCTTGAACCCTGGAGGCGGAGGTTGCAGTGAGCCAAGATTGCGCCATTGCACTCCAGCCTGGGCGACAAAGTGAGACTTTGTCTCAAAAAAAAAAAAAAGAAAAGAAAAGAAACCCAGAACCCAAACATTCTGGAGTTTGACTAACTTAACAGTATTTTTAGATCTGCTCTCCCCTGAAGAGCTCTGTAACTCTCAGCTCAGGCCCAGGCAGGCATAAATAGTTAGCATGGTGTTGAGGAAGCATTGTGGTAACTGCTCTGAGAACTCTGGTAGAACAAGGTAAGTTTGCTTCTGGAAGAACAGGAAAGTGTTGGACCATGTGTCTAGGCCTGGAGGTCTGCAGGCTTTTTCTCCCTGGTACAGCAACATACTCAGCTCTGGATTGTCCAGATACTGATAGTCCTGTTGGAATGTTGTGTAACCTGCCCACTGGGGACATAACCTGTCTGTAGAAGAAAAAGCCCTGGCTTGGGAGTCAGGCTGTGGAGGTTATTAATCCTGGCTCTAGAACTGCCAATGTGACCCTGGGCAAAACTTGTGTATGGGTCTCAATTTCCTCATCTATCAAATAAAATTAATTTTTCCCCAAGAATTCTTCTAGCTGTTATTCTAATGATGATCATTATAAAAGATTGACATGGAAATGACAGACCTGAGGCTAATTCATTTTGGACTGTTCTGGAAGGAAAGAGAATTATAAGGAAAAGTATGGATTCAGTTGTCCAGACTCACCCAAGTTCTTGTGGCCATGGAGGGGTACTGGTTATAGTTAAAAGTCAGAAGGATTATTATAGTTAAAAGTGAGAGATAGAAGGATGTAGTTAAAAGATAGAACTTTCTTAAGTGAGTTCTCATGGAGCCACAATTCTTGGGAGCTGCAAAGTCAGCCATGGTACTTACTGAGTGTTTTCATTGTTATTGATGTCATGATGCATCAAATTCTCAAACAAATGGTTTTTTGTCAACCAGGAGTAAGAGAGCTTGTCCTTGTTGGAAAGCCAATGGTGAATGAGCTGAGGAGGGGGCAGCTTGTGTGGAGTATGTGTATTTATCTGTATTCTTTTCCATAGGTACCATTAAATTTGTCTGGCTTAATTTAATGGGGACTTCTGGGACCTGCAGAGACTATAAAGGGCGAGGGTAAGGCTCTTGTCATCTGTTCAGGCTCCTCTCCTTCCAGTGGAACTTCCTCACTTTCTCCCTCTCCCGTCAGCCTCTCCCCTTTTCCAACTTGTGTGTATGTTCTACTGCCTTCTCGATTTTCTCTTCCCTCTGTGTTTTTTCTTCTGCCTCTCAACCACCTTTCCTTCCAGGTCGTTTGAGTCAAGTTGAAGTAGGCAGCTGGTGTTACCCACTTCCTCTACCTGGGGGGCCCAAACTGTGTCTTCAGTGCTAGGGGCTTTATTCTAACACTCTGGAACCTCTGTTTTCTTTTCTTTTTTTTTTTTTTCTTTTTTCTTTTCTTTTTGTTACCTTTTTTGTTTTTGTTTTTCTCTTCTGTTTCTGTGTAGGTCTCTTTAGTCAGCCTTATAGCTAATGCCCTGGGCTACTCGGAACTAGGTGCCATAAAGTCCCTTAGGACCCTAAGAGCTTTGAGACCCTTAAGAGCCTTATCACGATTTGAAGGGATGAGGGTAAGATACTAAGAGCAGCTGATCCTTCTGCATGCCAATGGAAACTGTTTAAGCATGCTAGAACTGATCACATGGTGGAAAGATCATTCAAACACGAATTCTGTGATGCAGCTGCTGATTTGATCCTCCACTCTCTTCCCCGCACCTGCCCCGTGCAAAGGGAAATTTCGTTAAGCTGCCTCATCACATTAATATTGGCCCCACCCCCAACAACATGCCATCGCAGAACATGTTAACATTGGCTATTCTCATTTGGCCTGGCTTACCTGTAGCACTTGGGGTGGCTTTCTGGGCTGTTGATTTAATAGGGAGAATCACCAGGTGCAAAGAAGGGGAATTGTAACCCACAGACCCACTGAAAAGCACAGGCTTCAGGCAGGGAGAGTGCTGTGTCGGGGCATCAGCCAGGTGGGGACTGTGCCCTTGGGGTCACTGAGAAAGCAGCTGAGAATGGGCTTGAAGACATGGTGGCAGGCCTGGGATTGGGGATGCAGCAGAATTCGGCATGGCCCTGGGAGAAGAAATGCTTTTCTTTCTATTCGGATTCCTCTTATTGCACCTTGTTGTTCTCAGCCCAGTCCCATAAGGACTGGCAGCCTCCGTCTGATAGCAAAGCTTTTTTCCTCACCCCCAACCCCTCTGCCCATGCTGTATGGTCCCCTAACACTGTCAAAATGACAACCAGGTATGATGCTAGATGACTGAATATCAGCTAGTTCTGAAATATCTTGATACCTCCTATTCCTGCTTTGGTGATACTCCACCCAAAACAGTACAAGGTGTTGTCACCCTGCCAACTTAGAAACAAGGTGCCCTCTTGGTGCCATTTTCTTGTCTCTTTTGGTTTAAATAATTGTGCATGTGTGTGCATGCATATGTGCACACACACACACAGACATACCCACACTAAAAAGTCAATTTCTTAAAATCAAAGGGGCAACTGACTTTGGTGGTAATAGTTGTCCTGTGGTGATCAGAGAGAGGTCTGTTATACTTAACGAGACCAAGAAAACTCACTTCAATTCAGATGTTGAATACATGCAGGAGAGCAAACCAGAGGATATATATTTAAATGTGCAAACATCAGAATGTAGGAATAAAAATTAAACTGTTACAATAGTCTACATGAAGCAAGACTGATTGGAAAAACTAGATACCAGGACAGTGCTGCTTCATTCATTCCTCATCTGTGATCCTTGGCTGTTATTCCATGAAGCCACCCACAGTTGTATAGGAAGATGAAAACTTAATTGGGACTTGGGAATTTTATATGTTAATTTATCCAGACAAATGCTTTTTGCAACAAATTCATGTTTCTTCTGTAGCACAGTCACAGTTTGGTTTACTAAATGTAAGCTTTCTGCAACCCTTCTGAAACCATCTGCAGGAAGGGCAGTTCCACAGTAGTGTAAATTTATTTTAATTTTTTTTTAACTTGGGATTTTAAATCTTGTCCCACAGATAAGAGAGGTTTTAGAATGTGTGCAATAAGGTCATTGCTATGCTCAGGCTACATTTAGGAAGAGAGTTTATTACACAAGATTCAGTGGTTTAGACAACCACTGAAATGGTTGAAAATGTGGTTAAAATGCTCTTCTCTGCTCCCTCTACTTTTGCACGTTTTCCAGAGGGAGCTAGTTAAATGTTTTAGTAAGTCATACCAGTTTTGTTATAAAGTTGATAATCCACTTTGGTGACTGCAAAACTGAGGACAAGATGCAACCAAAAGAAGTCCACTGAAGACAGTACTTGCAGCATTGCACCTGAGCTCCTCTGCATCCCCTTGAGATGATCCCTGATCTCCCAAAAGGAGATTGGTAATATCTGAAGAAACCCTCCCCAGTCCCACCCCTCGCAAAAGAAATGCTCATCTGACCCATCTGGCGCTTGTTACTGTTTCCATCTTGATGCTCATTACTGTCAGTCCTGTCCCAGGCAGACAGAAGTAGTCCTCGTGGCCGCTGATGCCAGTTTGCCCATGAGGCCATTACTTGAATAACCTGGATGCGGGAGCCATTTTGGTAGCCACATCTCTTCCCTTTAGCTGGCCCTTCTTTCTCTACCTTTCCTGGACCCTCAGTTTCCGGTCCCCTAAAATCTTTTACTTGTCAACTTGAAAGTAGTCTAGGAGCCTGGAGGTCCCAAACGCATAATCAGAACAGTAGATAATTTTATTTGAAAAGCATTACGATGTTTTAAGTGAAAAGCATCAAGGTTTTTTTCAGTAAGATAATATGGGCAAGAACAAGTTTGAACCCAAAGCTGGAATTTAAAACAATTAATGTGCAGTGAGGGAAGTTTTGGAATAAGAGTGCCATCTCATTTGGTTGCCTGCAGCCAACTAACAAACAGTATTGACCATGGCTGGTTGGGCAGGTGAAAAGGGATCAGGAATCCATTCCTGCCCTATGGGCTTCCCAGCCCTTCTGTGGAAGAGAAACTGCAAGAAAAAGATTGGATCTGGCTAAGCGTTTAGTCAGTCCCCCAGTAAGAAACAAAATTAGGTACACATGTTTTATTAAATGTCATTTTTCTATGGGGCATTTAAAAAAATTCTTTGGTTTTTGTTCTCCTATATGCCAACACTTTAGAGATTACCTTTAGAATATTTTAAATGAGAAATCTTTATAAACTGAATACCATCCGTGCAGATGGGCTCAACTGTCACTGTGCTGCTCATATTATAGACTCAGAGCTTCATTGAAAGGGAACATATGACCCAAGCCTGTCCTGGGACACTGATTTCAGTCTCCTCTCCTTCCTCAAACCAAAGACCAGGAAAACTGAAGCACTCATGCTATAGGCAAAGGAATACTTAATGTAGTTCTTTGCTTTTCTCTCCTCCATAGTAATCTTCATTTAAAGATTTTGCTGTGCTATTAAATTTTTGAGGGTATATAATATTAGTGCCATGAAACATGCATGCATTTTTGTTGATTGTCAGTACATAGTTGTCCATTAAAGCCATGTTCCCTCTGCCAGATATTAAAAGCTAGCTGACTGATTTTATAGTATTTAATAACCAACAGTAATGTCCAAGACATTATAGAGAAGACAAAAATATTGTAAGAATTCATGTCCATTGGAATTTTCTCATTTGTATCAATTGCTAAGTATAAACTTCCATTGAAAAAAATTAACTTTTTATAGATTACTAAAATCTAGCTTTGAGTGATATTTCCATGTCTAGTTCTTCAATAATAGATTTCGTGATAATTAAAGGCAATGTAGAATAACTAGAGAGCTCGTGTAGAGAAGAGAAGATCAAATTCATTAAGTGACTACTAATGGAATTTGAATTATCATTTATAATATATCTTTAGTATGAGAGTTCAAAATAAGAAATATGATCTCTTCCCCATTGGTTGCTGAGAATAACAGCACAATGATCATTTTACATGTGGAGCACAGTTAAATAGTTTCTACTTAACATATTGCAGCTTATCAACTAATGTTCACAGCAAGGAAGAATTGTTAGTAAAATTAATCAACTCTGGGCTGGGCACAGTGGCTAACACCTGTAATCCCCAAATTTTGGGGGGCTGAGGTGGGCGGATTACTTTGAGGTCAGGAGTCCGAGACCAGCCTGGCCAATATGGCAGAACTCTGCCTCTACTAAAAATTAAAAAATCAGCTGGGTGTGGTAGTACCCACCTGTAGTTCCATTTACTGGAGAGGCTAAGGCAGGAGAATCTCTTGAACCCAGGAGGTGGAGGTTGCAGTGAGCTAAGATCACACCACTTCACTCCAGCCTGGGCAACAGAGTGAGAACCTGTCTCAAAAAAAAAAAAGTAAATAAATAAAAATTTAAAAGTAAATTTAATCAACTGTTTTCTGTTTTATTCATAAAATTAAGGTAAAAAGTTTTTCTGTGGTATGATTACAGTACATTTACATCTTATAAAACTTTGGATTTTATAGGATTTTATGTCATATCAGAGAATAAGGCTCAGTGAATATTTGTGTATATTGATTCATTTGATCAGATGAATCAATATATAAAATTTTGTATATATTTTATGAGAATAAAAATTCAAAGAGTTGACTAGTTAATTTTTCTTCCCTGTGGTAAACATTAACTCATATTTAACTGTAACACATAGTATGTAGGACAGATTAGACTGGGTTTGAGTAGAAGCTTAAGATCATTCTCTGCATAGTCAGAAGAGTTCCAGAGGAAGTAGGTTCTGAACTGAGATTAAAAAGCAACATGGCTAGGTTTCAAGTCTTTGGGGCCTACTTCCTATGCCACGTTTGTAATGGTCTAACAGAAGGTCATGATCTCTCATCTAAGTTCTGCTGCGAAATGCTGTCACATAGATTTGAGCTTTTGAATCTTTACATACTCTACTCCCTTATTGTTTGAGAAATTATTTTTCCATTTGTGGATCATCCTCCTTTTGCCTGTTCTTTTGCACATTTCATTGCTTTTTGGTGCTCCCACCAAAGGGTGAGCAACTGTGGAATGAGGAGGTAAATTCAAATCTGAGTACATGACAAATTTGGTAATTTAAATACATATGAATATCATTCTCCAAAATAATGTTGAAGATTTTCCAGATTTCAGATATCCTGGCTTTCCTTGCTCAAAGTAATAAACAATTAACAAATTAATAAACATTTTATACTAATGACAGAGCTGTCAGATCTAGAAGAGATTTCTTGGTCTAAGAATTAAGAAATAACTGCCTCTCAGTCTAAAGACCTTCATATGTTAATTGGAGAAACGCAAAATGAATATTTTAATCTAAAAGGAAGAGTGACTCCTTAGCAGAAGAATATCATTGCATTTTTTATGCAAGATAGAGCAGGTAGCTCTAATCAGGCACATGTCCTGATGAGTGACAGTGCAGTCTAAGGCAAAACCAGAAAATAAGGAAAACCTAAACCCTAAACTAAACTGTATGCTACTCTGACTTACACTGTAAAGCAAAATAAAAATTTAAAACAACCCAGAAACTTTGATTCCTCAGGGGTTTTTTTCCTTGGCTTTCTTTTTTTATTCCTGGGCTTACTCTAGTCAGTGACTTTTAATAATATGCCAATTTTTAAGTTTCAAGAGCAGTGATGATCTAACCCAAAACTCTCTTAAAAAACTTAAGTCATCCCTATTTCTAATACGTCGTGATGATTAGAGTCAAGCCCTGGAATGAGCAGAGAGACAACAGCATTAGCTGAGCAGGGAGTGACTCTGGTTTAAAAGCCTACAAAATCAGAATAAAAACACTGAAGAAGAATAATGAACCTTGAGTGAAAAGCACATCTGTTCAGATTTTATTTTATACTGTTTGGTAGAGGGAATATAGCTTTTTTTTTTCTTGAGCCTGCAAAATATGCATGCTCAGCTATTGCCTGAAATAAGATAACTGGCCTTGCGTAGTCATAAAAGAGACGTTATGTACTGTTAACTGGTTCTCTATTAACCACGACGGATAGTTCTCTGTGATTGTGAACAATCATACCTTGTTTTGCAGAGGGGGAATGTCTGTTGAAAGGCAACTAGCAAACTGAAAGTTACTCATATTTCCCCATTGGGCATATTTTATGAATTGAGGAGGAGGGAGAATGGACTAAGAAATAATTTTACAATCCCAGACTGATGCATAGGAAAGAAGACCTAGGTCATCTTGGCTGGGGAATTTGTGTTAGTCAAAATAAAGATGAAACTTTTAGGCCGGGCGCGGTGGCTCAAGCCTGTAATCCCAGCACTTTGGGAGGCCGAGACGGGTGGATCACGAGGTCAAGAGATCGAGACCATCCTGGTCAACATGGTGAAACCCCATCTCTACTAAAAATACAAAAAATTAGCTGGGCATGGTGGCGTGTGCCTGTAATCCCAGCTACTCAGGAGGCTGAGGCAGGAGAATTGCCTGAACCAGGAGGCGGAGGTTGCGGTGAGCCGAGATCGCGCCATTGCACTCCAGCCTGGGCAACAAGAGCGAAACTCCATCTCAAAAAAAAAAAAAAAAAAAAAGATGAAACTTTTTAAAATTTCTTCAGTGTAGTCCTACACTTAGAAATTTTTGGTCCTACTTGTCAGTCTGTCCAGTTACTCTAATTCCAAAGGGAATGTAATGTTTCCATACAGAACAAGCCACACAATGTCATTCCCCTCCTGGAAATCAAAAAATGTGCTTGCTTCCATTTCCACCCAACACTCAGCAACCTCCCCTTCCAATGCAGGTGGTGGTGAATGCCTTGGTGGGCGCCATCCCCTCCATCATGAATGTGCTGCTGGTGTGTCTCATCTTCTGGCTGATTTTCAGCATCATGGGAGTTAACCTGTTTGCGGGAAAGTACCACTACTGCTTTAATGAGACTTCTGAAATCCGATTTGAAATTGAAGATGTCAACAATAAAACTGAATGTGAAAAGCTCATGGAGGGGAACAATACAGAGATCAGATGGAAGAACGTGAAGATCAATTTTGACAATGTTGGGGCAGGATACCTGGCCCTTCTTCAAGTGGTAAGTAATGTTTTGTTTTGTTTTGTTTTTTTCAGTTCTGTGAAATTCAGGCAGCTAGCACAAATCCCATTAGGCTTCTTCTCAACCCTGCTTCTAGAATCAGGATGATTTTCAGTCAGTCCGAGAGAACAGTGTTGTTCCCCAAACCAGTTTCAGAGAGACACCTTTCCTGAGTATTCTCTGACTTCTACCAGATCTCATGCAAAGGAAATCTCTCATTGTGCTCAGGAGCAGAGAGCTGTGCCCAGCAACAAATAAAGATTCCTGCAGTGTAATAAAGTGGCAGAGAAATCACTTTCCCTTCCTGGCTCAGAGAGTGCAGTTAAAGAGAAGGGCAAAAAAAAAAAAAAAAAAAAAAAAAAAATCAAGAAGATAAGCCCATAGACAAAAAAGTATGGCAATTGTGATGGAGCAAAATAATCATACATACTCACTACATTCAAGTTAACGTAGGGAAAAACAGTGCCTGGGTGCCACACTCATATTAGCTTCACCCCAGAGAAAGATATCAGATTACTGTTATCACAGAAAGGAAGGATTTAACTATCTAGATAATTCTCTTTTGCCTAATTTTATTCCTTCCTGCTTGGTTTTCACTTCCTCTTTCACCAGTGTTTTGGAATGCGTGACAATATAATGCAGAGAAAGTTCATAGGCTTTGAAATCAGACTGATATAGATTTGAACCACACTCTGATATTTATTGGATATGTAACTTTGAACAAATTATTCAACCTCTCTGACTCTCTATTTCTTCATCTATTAAATATAGAAAATGATACCTTGCATTGGTTGTTAAGAGAATTTGTGATTTTTAAAAATTTCTTAGCACAGTGCCCAGCAAATAACCATGCTAAATAATGTAAATTGCTATTAAATATTTTTGTTACTATATTGCCATGCCTATATCATACAGTTCTTGGGAGACTAACTGCAATAACACAGATAAAGCTCTTAACCTAACCTTACATATAGTAAACACTCACTGTCAACTCATAGTAGAAGGCAAAGTTCATGGAGTGAACTGTAGTTTTTCCTACCCCAAAGCTTTTTGCTGTTCTGTCCCAGTTCAAGAAATTGGACCCACGAATTCAATCTGAATTGGAGCAGCTCCAGAAAACCAGTGCATATCAACAAGCCAGTCAAATATGGTAGTCACAGAGTCCCTGCCATATGCAAGATGCTGTGCTTGACAGTACAGTACTAGGGCCATCAGATGAAAAAAGACCTTCCTATGCCCTGAAAAAACTTAGAATCTGGTTGAGTAAGTAAAACATGGAGAATGGTACATTGATCATCCATATTTGTTTCCAAAATCAGGCTAGATATAGTAGACTGAAGGAGTAGAGTTGGGAAGGGACTGTCAAGGATAAAGCTGGTATTGCCACTACGTAGGCTACACATGTGTATATTAGTAAAGGGTAAGTCTGATCTTTTTTTTTTTTTAAATGCAACTATGGATTTTTCAGACCCCTATCACTTAACACCTTTTAAAGAACTGATTCCTCAGTGGAATGGAGTGCTAAGTTCCAAGCATTTTCAGTAGATTCCTGTCATTTGCTCATAAAAGTTTTCCCTAACTTTAGGCAGGCTTCTCAGGCCTATGTTTTTAAGTCCTTTTGTAAAGTCTCAATCCAGTTACCTTTTTCACATGTTTATTTGCCATACTTTGTTGTTATTTTCAGAGACAAAGCCTCCTTGGGATCTATAGTAACAGAAAATTCTGAGTCCAAGGGAGGCTGCACCCAAACCCCCATTCTGTGTTCTCACTGAACCTAAGCCTGGCCTTTGGGACCCCTGCCTAGACTCCCATCTACTCCCTTAATAGGCACAGTCTAATGACTGCCTCTGTTTGCCAGGCAACCTTCAAAGGCTGGATGGACATCATGTATGCAGCTGTAGATTCCCGCAAGGTAAGGATGTACATGGCGAAAATACAGCCTTCTCAGATGGTTGGAAAACAAGCAGGATGTTAGATCCCACCAAGAAAGAGGAAGGAACGGAGGAATGGAGGGGTTGTCATTTCTCTTTAGAACATTTGTTGCTTGTTTTATTGATTATAGATCATTTTCCTCAACTAAGTAAGTCATCACTCTTACATTGGCCCCCAATGATTAGAGTGTTGATTCTTACATGGCCCCAGGGAAGCTGTCTATGCTTCAATCTTGCTTCATAGCAAAAGTATGGCTCCTAGCAGACAGCCCTCCCTCCCTGTGGCCTCATGATTTGCATGTTCTCCACATGAGTCAGAGGAGGGCTAGTTCCCTCTCAAGGCGGGACATGCCAGTGTAGAGAAGGAGGCAGGTAGAAAGAATCTAGGGCTCTCCCACCCCAGCATGTTCAGCAGCTCAAATGGTCACAGTTATGGCTGATGGCCTTGGCATGTCAAACTCCAAACTAGGAGCTGATTCTCTTCCTTTTATCCTGTCCTTTGACAGCCTGATGAGCAGCCTAAGTATGAGGACAATATCTACATGTACATCTACTTTGTCATCTTCATCATCTTCGGCTCCTTCTTCACCCTGAACCTGTTCATTGGTGTCATCATTGATAACTTCAATCAACAAAAGAAAAAGATAGGTCTCCTCCCCTCATTGCCAGTGGCTGGAAGTCAGCCCAGATAAGAGGCACCTTTGTCCCTTATCTCTAGAAAGAAAATGTCCCTCTTTCTTTCTCTAAAATCCATATTGTCAGCTCACTGTGACCCTGGCCACCATGTACATTAGCCCCAACCTACTCTTTCTGTTTTGGGGGCTGGATTTTGCAGCACATAGTTTACCATACTTACTAGCAGTCATTTATTCTTGAGGCCTATTACTGCTCTTGGTCTCCCACCAGAAGCAGGTAGGTCAGAGAGTGCAGTCTAGCAACAGAAATGAAAAGGAAAGAAGCAGTTGAATAACTATTACAAGAAGTAAAAGCTCTCTAGATTTGTGATTATCTATGTCAGTGCCTGAGCACTGGCAAAGAGACTGTCCTTGGAAAGTTCAGCTTCCTTACTTGTCCTAGATGGTTAACAAGTTTTAAAAAGCAAATTGGAAAAATTGCTCTTGTTACTCATTTTGTAATTCAAGTCTATCCCAGCATACTCCAAGAAACTGTCCAAACTGCTTTCTTGCACCAGAATTTCTAAATTTTGAGTTTTATCTAAAATAAATTGGCTATCAGCCAGGACATGAAGATCTTTTTATTCTAAAATGTTTTTTCTACAATGTGTCAGGAAAGCAGGCCCTCAAAAAAATGAGACTGTGAAATATGACTGCCTTCAAAGTCATTGCTCTCAGGTTTACCCTTGCATGGGGGTCTACAATTGGATAGTCCATTTCCTTTCTACCTCGGGACTGGCAGATCTTAGAAATCCTGAGCTAAAAACAAAGGCAGGAGTCTCTTTAGAGCTGAATGATTATCACAGGTCTACCCCATCGTGGGACAGCTACTAGCTACACTGTCTTTTTCAAAGGAAAGGATTGGTCTCCCCTCAGTTCTCAAAATTGAATCTTAGGTCCAAACCCATAGCATGTTGAGAGCCAGTTGTAATTGTCTGTTCTCTTCTTCCCTCCTTTACTTTGGAGGTCAGGACATCTTCATGACTGAAGAACAGAAGAAGTACTACAATGCCATGAAAAAGCTGGGCTCAAAGAAGCCACAGAAACCTATTCCCCGCCCCTTGGTAAGTGCATCGTGTGGGCTGAGGGCTTAGTGAGAACTCATATTAAAAAAAAAAGTAGGGCCGGGGGCAGTGGCTCATGCCTATAATCCCAGCACTTCGGGAGGCCGAGGCAGGTGAATCACGAGGTCAAGAGATCGTGACCATCCTGGTCAACATGGTGAAACCCCGTCTCTACTAAACATACAAAAAAATTAGCCGAGCACCGTGGTGCACGCCTGTAGTCCCAGGTACTTGGGAGGCTGAAGCAGGAGAATTGCTTGAACCCAGGAGGCGGAGGTTGCAGTGAGCCGAGATCGCGCCATTGCACTCCAGCCTGGGTAACAAGAGCAAAACTCCATCTCAAAAAAAAAAAAAAAAAAAAAGTACTGCTAGGGTTACTGCAAAGGAAGGAAAAAGATAAGCGATTGGATACTTTGTGCCTAATCCTCTCCTCACCACCCATCCAAAAGATCTGAAGAGATAGCAGAAGAACGGGGATTAAGGAATGGGGTGGCTTTTACATCAGTCCTTGACATATCCTCTGAGCCTTCCTTGGGCAGCCTCCAAGAATCAGCATGTGAATGAACCACATTGGCTTTGGCTCTGGTAGAGATGGTTTTAGAGACCTCCAAAAATTAACAAGAGAAAATGAAATGAAGTTACCCTCTTTCCCACCAGTTCAAGGTAGGAATTGGTCATGATTTTTTCAGCTTCTCTCTGCTCAATAAGTATGTCTTTGCAGGATGTGTCTAGAAGCTAAAATCATGCTTCTGGCTATTTGTGGGAGCAGAAAAGGATAAAACTATGAGTCTGGTGCCCTGATTCTCTCTCTTGAGCTGAGCCTTTTGTAAAACAGTTTTGGGGGCTAAGATTCTGCTTCATTGTGCCATTGGGGGGTGTCTTGTTTCAGAGAAGGGGAAGGAGATGCCCTGTTCATGATTCCATATATCCAGTTAGGTGAGACATTACCCCCGAAAGCCAGGCCCAAAGTTCCTTCTTCTATAACTTCTGTTTAACAACTTTAAAAAACAGAAACAACAAAAACAGCAGAACCTTTAATACAAAAGCTTTCCTGGCAATCTAATTTGCAGTGGCTCTGTTTGAATCAAGAGTTATAGTTCCAGAGTGCTTTGTCCCCGCAACCCCACACGCTGCACGTGGCACATCTGCCGCATCCACTTTTTTTTTTTTTTTTTTTTTTTAAGAGACGGAGTTCCGCTCTTGTTGCCCAGGCTGGAGTGCAATGGCGCAATCTCGGCTCACTGCAACCTCCGCCTCCTGGGTTCAGGCAATTCTCCTGCCTCAGCCTCCTGAGTAGCTGGGATTACAGGCACATGCCACCATGCCCAGATAATTTTTAGTATTTTTAGTAGAGACAGGGTTTCACCATGTTGACCAGGATGGTCTCGATCTCTTGACCTCGTGATCCACCCGCCTTGGCCTCCCAAAGTGCTGGGATTACAGGCTTGAGCCACCGCGCCCGGCCCGCATCCACTTTTGAAGGAAAAGAAATTCTAGGGCTTTGCAGAGCAGATTGAAAACCACCAAGTTAAAGAATCCTGAAAATAAGCACCAGCCCAAGTACCTAGGTACTTAAACAAACAAAAAATCTAGGAATCTTAAGAAAGAGAACAGTTTTTTTTTTTAGTCTTTGATGTTACGACTTCATTTTGTGATAGAAATGGGACTAAAGGGAATAGAAAAGGGTTAACATTTCTGAAATGCTGTTTAGTACTTTACGTATGAGAACCTGAGTATGATTTTATTCCACATTAAAATACAGTAACTTCCAGCCTAGGCAACATAATCAGACCCGTCTCTACAAAAAAATTTTTATAAAAATTAGCTGGGCGTGGTGGTACATACCTGTGGTCCTCACTATGTAGGAGGTAAGAGACTTGCTTGAGCTTGGGAGGCCAAGGCTGCAGTGAGCCATGACTGTGCCACTATACTCCAGCCTGGGCAATAGGGAGAGACCCTGTCCCAAAAACTACAAAATAAAATAAAATATAAAATATTAATGTAGGAAACATTAATAAAGTGTGATTAACATTCATTTAGCAAATATTTATCAGTCTCCACTGTGTACTAGGTACTAAACATAATGTGATAAACAAAAGGTAGACACTGCTGTCATGGAGCTTATAATAGTTGGGGAGATAGATAATAAGGAAGCAAACAGCCACAATAAAATGTGGAAGACTGTGAGAAAAAAAATTACCTGGAGGGCTATAGTGGTGGATCTACTTTAATATAGTAGTCAGAGAAATCATCACTAAGGAGAGTCTACTTGAGTGGATGAGAAGGAACCAGCTGGGCATGGTGGCTCCTATTATAATCCCAACTTGGGAGCTATAGGCAGGCAGATCACCTGAGCCGAGGAGTTCTAGATCAGCCTGGGCAACACAGTGAAACCTCATCTGTACCAAAAAAAAAAAAAAAAAAAAAAAAAAAAAAAAAAAAATTAGCCAAGCTTGATAGCATGCCTGTAGTCCCAGCTACTCAGGAGGCTGAAGTGGGAGGACGGTGTGACTCCAGGAAGTCAAGGCTGCAGAGGATGTGGTAAGTTATTTCGTACCACTATACTCCAGCCTGCGGGTGAGAGCAAGACCCTATCTCAAAAAAAAGAGATGGAAGCAAAGAGCTGGGGAAAGAGATTCCTGGCAGAGTACACAAGACCCCAGAAGCAGAAAACTGTGGCCATGGAGCAGTGAGGCAGAGGAGGGACATTGATGAGCAGAGTCAGACTGTGCCAGTTGTCTCCCTGTAAGCTAGTTAACAATAGGGATTGTGTTGCAAGCCCAGTGAGAAGCTCTTGAAAGGTTTTAAGTAGGGGTACGATGTGATCCATTTGTTTGTTTTGTTTTGTCTTGTGTTTTGAGACAGAGTCTCTCTCTGTCACCCAGGCTGAAGTGCGGTGGCATGATCTCGGCCCACTGCAACCTCCACTCCCGGGTTCAAGCGATTCTCATACCTCAGCCTCCCAAGTAGCTAGGACCGCAAGTGCCTGCCACCACACTCAGCTAATTTTTGTATTTTTAGTAAAGCTGGGGTTTTACCATGTTGACCAGGCTGGACTTGAACTCCTGACCTCAAGTGATCAACCCACCTCAGCCTCTCAAAGTGCTGGATTACAGGCATGAGCCACTGCACCTGGCAATGATACATTTGATTTAAATCACTTGCTATTTTATGAGGACTGCATTGATGAGGGCAAGAGAAGAAGTGGGAGACCAGTTAAGTGGCCAGACAAGTCCAGATGAGAGATGGTGGTGGCTCAGATTAGAGTGTAGCCAAAAAAGATAGAGTGAAGTGGATGAACCCAAGTTATATTTTTGGAGGAAGAATCAACAGGCCCTTCAGTGGATCGGATGAGGGAGAATAAAGAGACAAAGATGATCCTCAGATTTCTGGCTTAAGAGCCTGGGTGAATAATTGAGAGGAACAAGCTGGGTGAGGGGCAGGGAATAGACTTGGCTCTGCTTTGGACTTAAGTGTGAGATGTTTGGACATGGTAAGTTTGAGATGCTTATGAGTCATCAGGAAGAAATGGCAAGTAAGCAACTCAGGTTCAGAGGAAAGGTGTGGGCTGCAGAAGAAAAGCTTGAGAAGCATGAGTACATAGATACCACATAAGCAGCAGGAATAGATGAGCTCTCGTAGGGTGAAAATTTAGAGAAAGAAGAGGTTAGGAGAAGAAATGGCTGGCAGATGAGACCAAAAAGGAGCAGCTGGAGAAGTAGGAAGACATCCACAGTGTGTCAGTCAGCTGGGTATAGTGGTGCACATCTGTAGGCCCAGCTTCTCAGGAGGCTGAGGCAGGAGGATCACCTGAAGCCAGGAGTTTGAATTGCTGTGTGCCATGATCGCACCTATGCATAGCCACTGCACTCCAGCCTGGGTAACATGGTGAGACCCATCTCTAAAAACAGAGAGAAAGGCCAGGCATCATGGTTCACACCTGTAATCCCAGCATTTCAGGAGGTCGAGGCAGACAGATTACTTGAGGCCAGGAGTTTGAGACCAGCCGGGCCAGTATAGCAAAACCCCATCTATACTAAACATACAAAAAATTAGCTGGGCGTGATGGTGTGCACCTGTAATCCCAGCTACCTGGGAGACTGAGGCTTCAGAATTGTTTGAACCCAGGAGGCAGAGGCTGCAATGACTCAAGATTGCACCACTGCCCTCCAGCCTGGGCAACAGAATGAGACTCTGTCTAAAAAAAAAAAAACAAAAAACAAAAAAACAGCTGGATGCTGTGGCTGATGCCTATAATCCCAGCGCTTTGGGAGGCTGAGGCAGGGGGATCACCAGAGGTCGGGAGTTTGAGACCAGCCTGACCAACATGGAGAAACCCCATCTGTAACAAAATTAGGGGGGCCTGGTGGCTCTTCTCTGTAATCCCAGCTACTCAGGAGGCTGAGGCAGGAGAATCGCTTGAACCCAGGAGGCAGAGGTTGCAGTGAACTGAGATTGCACCATTGTACTCCAGCCTGGGCAATGAGGTGAAACTCCATCTCCAAACAAACAAAACAAAGAAAAAAGAAAGAAGTGTAGTAACTTTAGAAAGCTCTTGGTGAGGTAATATTGATGTTGGTCTCCATCCATGCTCCTCATAGAGCAGCAGAGCTGACCAGTATTAACAGAAAAGAAGACAGAGGTACCTCAGTTAGCAGGGTGACAGCTTCTATAGGTTGGCTTGGAAAGGTTTTCATGAATCTTGTGTCTTTTCCATCCCTTCCTCCCTAGAACAAAATTCAAGGAATCGTCTTTGATTTTGTCACGCAACAAGCCTTTGACATCGTTATCATGATGCTCATCTGCCTTAACATGGTGACAATGATGGTGGAGACAGACACTCAGAGCAAGCAGATGGAGAACATCCTCTACTGGATTAACCTGGTGTTTGTTATCTTCTTCACCTGTGAGTGTGTGCTTAAAATGTTTGCCTTGAGGCACTACTACTTCACCATTGGCTGGAACATCTTTGACTTCGTGGTCGTCATCCTCTCCATCGTGGGTGAGTGGGGTCGGGGAAGTAGGCTAGGGGAAAAGGGACCTGACTGATTTTGAGGATGAGATTTCCCAGGAGAGGAATGAATTATACAGGTCTGAAGTGCAGGCAGGATACCCTGCCTAGCAGATTCCATTGTCAGTGAATTTCTACTGCGTGTTCTTAGTAGTCTTGGATTATAAATTCTGTGGCTCAAGGAAAACAGAAAAGAAAAAAAAAGATTGGTTCTTGCTTTTAAGGAGTTTAAAGTCTAACAGGGAAGGTAAAAGAAAGTTGTCATTAAAGAATATAATGCAATAGAAGTATAAAATGAAAAAAGGAATGACTGTTAACTTGGCTGTTATGAAATAGTCTAGTTAAGTTCTGGTGCTGATAGCCATGGTGGTGCTGCTGTTAGTGGCAGGGCTTGTTTACTGAGATTTTACTGTGGGCCAACTACAGTTTGAGAGTTTCTTCACCTGCATTGTCTCATTTGATTCTTATTACATCCCAAGAAGCAAGCTACTTTATTATCCTGACTATATAGATGTCCACAGTCACTCAACTAGGAGGTGGTAGAGGCATAACTGGAGTTGATCCCAAAGTCCGTGTTTCTTAACTGTGACTGTGTGCATCTTGCTTCAACCTAAAAGTGTAGGGGGATGATGCCCTGGCAGGCAGGCAGAAGGAAATGCCACCCTGTTGATTGCCTTTCCAAATGTTTCCTTACCTTCCTCAAAGGCATCTTGTGTGATAAAACTCAGCCTTGGTTCCAGGTAAGTTTGACTCATTTATACCCGAGAGAGAGTGCTCGAGACCCATGGGGCCAGCCCCAGAGCTCCAGTGGCCATGCTGGGCCTAGTGAAATGGTGACTAAGGCACCAGCAGGCCAGGGTCTCCCCTTGGCCTGTGCCACCCTCTAGTTCTTTCCTCCAGAGCAGTATGTCCAAAAGTGTTGATGTGTGGAACGCTAATCCTATACATTTCTCCCCAAGAATCTCATGAGGAAATTAGGTAACACACTGTACCTTGAATTTTCCTTTGGGGTTCACAGTGCACATTACTGAATTCCCTTGGAAGTCCTATAGTAAAGAATTCTGGGCCAGGTGCAGTGGTGCACGCCTGTAATCCCAGCACTTTAGGAGGCCAAGGCAGGCAGATAACTTGAACCCAAGTGTTCAAGACCAGTCTGGGCAACATGACAAAACCCTGTCTCTCCAAAAAAACAAAAACAAAAACAAAAATGAACCAGTCATGGTGATATGTGCCTATGGTCCCAGTTACTTGGGAGACTGAGGTGGGAGGATTACTTGAGCCTGGGCGGTTGAGGCTACAGTGAGCCGAGATCACACCATTGCACCCCCTGATGACAGACAGAGACTTCGTCTCAAAAATAAAGAAAGAGCTGGGCGCGGTGGCTCAAGCCTGTAATCCCAGCACTTTGGGAGGCCGAGGCGGGTGGATCACGAGGTCGAGAGATCGAGACCATTCTGGTCAACATGGTGAAACCCCGTCTCTACTAAAAATACAAAAAACTAGCTGGGCATGGTGGCATGTGCCTGTAATCCCAGCTACTTAGGAGGCTGAGGCAGGAGAATTGCCTGAGCCCAGGAGGCGGAGGTTGCGGTGAGCCGAGATCGCGCCATTGCACTCCAGCCTGGGCAACAAGAGCGAAACTCCGTCTCAAAAAAAAAAAAAAAAAAAAAAAAAAAAAAAAAAAAAAAAAAAAGAAAGAATTCTGTTTAAATGTAACATAGCATCTCACCTTTATTAGACCACAGTTTCCTTTTTTTCAGTAATAATGAAAGCTCACATTTTAGTGGGATATGCCATGTGCCAGGTGCCATTATCAGTGCTTTAAATATGTTCCTTCATATAATCCTCTCAACAAACCTAAGAATCCTGAGGAACTGAGGCACAGAGAGGTTCCCAAGACATGTGGCTGGTAAGTGAGCAAGTGGAGGTTCAAACCCAGCCCCCTGGCCCCAAGTCCATTCTCCTAATTTTCACAAAACACACTTTGGACAATGCTGCCCTGGTCCACTGCTCTAGAAACTTTTCTGGCCACTAATCCTTGAGTGACACAAAAAATCCACAGACCAAATCATACCCCACATTTTCAAATGGTACTCTAAAAAGAGGAAGATGGTTTTGATGATTGGGATTTTTTTTTAATATCCTAAATTTGTTCAGCAACAAAAATATAGGAATCATCCTTTTAAAGTAAGAGAAATGTATTAGGGTTTCTAGAGGGACAGAACTAATAGGATAGATGTATATATGAAAGGGAGTCTATTAAGGAGAACTAACTCACACGATCACAAGGTGAAGTCCCACGGTAGGCCGTCTGCAAGCTGAAGGGAGCCGTGGTGGCTCAGTCTGAGTCCCAAATTCTCAAAAGTAGGAAAGCTGACGGTGCAGGCTTTGGTCTGGCCAAAGGCCCCAGAACCCCTGGCAAACCACTGTAAGTCCAAGAGTCCAAAAGCTGAAGAACTCGGAGTCTGATGTTCAAGGACAGAAAGCATCCAGCGCAGGAGGAGATGAAGGCCAGAAGACTCAGCAAGTCTGCTGCCTCCATCTTCTTCTGATTGCTTTTTCTAGCTGAGATGGCAGCTGGTTAGATGGTGCTCACCTACAGTGAGGGTGGGTCTTCCTCTCCCAGTCTACTGACTCAAATTAAAAGTAATGGCAAAAACTGCAATTATTTTTGTATCAACCTAATCTCAGGTAACACCCAGAAACAAGACTTTGCATCCTTTAATCCAACCAAGTTGACACTTACTATTAACCATCACAAGTCCACCCCTTGCCAACTTGAACCTGTACGCATCTCCTGAAATCATACTTAATCTCCAAATAAATACAATAATGAGTTCGTAATTACGCCTAACATAATACAGCTATCCTTTATACAACCGGAAGCCCACTAAGCCTTAACCTAAAGCTCTTGCATAAAGTTAACAACACGTAAATGCTGACATGAAGTCAACAAATCATATGTTACATCATAAAGGAAAAAGAACTAAAATGAAGATATTTTCCTAGTACAAGTGTATACATGCGCAAACATATTCTTCACAAAATAAGGAGGAAAATACTCACGACAGTGGCAGTCCTCATTTCTGTAGCTGGTCACATGATTGTCACTGATATTGATAACTATCTTCTTCTACTACCCATTCTATATTCACTTTGCCTTCAGCAAGCACCATGACTGGTCCTGGTTTTTTACCTGGTAGAGGGACCCAAACCTTCATTCCTGAAGGATCTGTACCATTTGTGTCCTGCTTGGATTGGGCTGTTGTTAGTTTCCCATTGACCTTAATCACAGGGCATGGTAATACTAAGAGATGCCCTAATGGATCTCCTGTATTCCATGTATATTCTTCCTTACCTCTGTTGTGGAGTAGTAGACTGATTTCATCTTGGTAGTCTGGGTCAGTCACCCCAGCCAACACTGCAGCTCCCTTCTTAGCTTGTTGACTGAGGTAGGAGGAGCCCAAAGTGTCCATGTGGCAATCTTAACTTCCAGTTTAATGGAATTGTTGTGTCTCCTGGTGGTAGCATTCCTCCCTCTGGAACTAAGACCGCTAGGCCAGCAGAACATAATGTCGTAGTAACAGGAAGCAAAAATTTTGCTAGTGGGTCACTAGGGGTGATGGTGAGTAGTGCCACTTTTACTTCCACCCCTTGATTCCTGGACCCATGAATCCTGGCTATGGGAGGAGCAATCCCATATATTGGACACTGATTCAGAGCATACACGGCCTTCTGGAGAACTTTGTCCCAGCCCTGCAAAGTATTGTTACCTAGTTGGCATTGTGATCGTGACTTCAAAAGGCCATTCCACCGTTCTGTCAATCCAGCTGCTTCAGGATGATGGGAACATGGTAAGACCAGTGAATTCCATGAGCATGAGCCCACTGCCACACTTCCTTAGCTGTAAAGTAAGTGCCTTTTGTCAGAGGCAACACTGTGTGGAATACCATGGTGAGTCCACAGATGGTAGTCTTGGCAGAAGCATTGCATGCAGGATGGGCAAACCCATATCCAGTGTAAGTGTCTGTTCTGGTAAGGACAAACCACTGCCCTTTCCATTATGGAAGAGGTCCGATATAATCAACCTGCCACCAAGTAGCTGGCTGATCACTCCCAAGGCATAGTGCCATATTGAGGGCTCAGTGTTGGTCTCTGCTGCTGGAAAATAGGGCACTCAGCAGTGGCCATAGCCAGGTCAGCCTTAATGTGTGGAAGTCCATGTTGGTGCGCCCATGCGTAACCTCCATCCCTGCCACCATGGCCACTTTGTTCATGGGCCCGTTGGGTGATGACAGGGGTGGCTAGGGAAAGAAACTGAGTGGTATCCACAGAATGAGTCATCCTATCCACCTGATTATTAAAATCCTCCTCTGCTGAGGTCACTCTTTGGTAAGCATTCATGTGGGACACAAATATCTTCACAGTTTTTGACCACTCAGAGAGGTCCATCCACATACCTCTTCCTCAAATTTGTCACCAATTTTTCAATCATCCTTCTTCCAAGTCCCTGACCATCCAGCCAAATCATTGGTTACAACCCATGAATCAGTATATAATTGCATATCTGGCCATTTCTCCTTCCGTGCAAACTACACAACCAGGTGTACTGCTCAAAGTTCTGCCCACTGGGAAGATTTCCCTTCACCACTATCCTTCAGGGATGTCCTAGAAAGGGGCTGTCATGCTGCAGCTGTCCACTTTCAGGTGGTGCCTGCACATCGTGCGAACCATCTGGAACCAGGCACTAGTCTTCTCTTCCTCTGTCAACTGATCATAGGGAACTCCCCATGAGGCCATCAGTGCAGGCTAGGGAAGAGAAGGCAGGGTGGCGGGAGTGGGTACCATGGGCATTTGAGCCACTTCCTCATGTAACTTTTGTGCCTTCAGGACCTGCTCGAGCCCACTCACGTGCATACCATTCCCATTTGATGATGGACTGCTGCTGTATGCACCTAACTTTATGGCTAGCTGTATCAGAGAGCACCCAG